TCCTCCCAAGGATGATTCGCGAGGCTATTGAAATTAAAAAACATCCTAATTTCAATAGAGAAGATGGATGGGTGCTGCCATCTGCTTGGGATCCCATAATTAATAAAATCAAATCCAAACCCAAGTATACCACTGCTAGACTTCAAGATACTGTAAGCTCATTCTGCGTAAATCGAACCAAAAATTAATATTAAAAAACTGAAGGTAGCCGGGCTAACTATGACAGTAGGACGTCAAACAACTCAGTCCCCCGTGACCACGGGTGCTGGAAAGCACCCGAAACGTCGGGAATATAAAAATAAGTTAATATACGCGATAAAATCCGTAAAATTAGTTTTATTTAAAAATGTGTAGTGTTCGCGTAAATATAAGAAATCATTATAAGAAGGTACAGTTATTTATTACACTGAATTTTTATATATTACTATCGTAACTTCATTCGCATCTAGTATAACTACAGCTGATATCCTCCCCGGGTCCTAGTGTCCCTGCTCAAAATGTCTTCACAATCGGTTTACCAGTTTAGCCATGAAAGAATTACAAACAATCTGACAAACACAGATACTATGAATTTATAATAGATATTACTATGTACATGGATTTTTTTAAATAATATTAAACTGACATTCATAGAACAACAAGTAGATAAGTTAAAGTTCATGGTCATTTGGAAGAGACAAATTGGCCACTAAAAAGCTTGGCGTGCTCAGCAGAGCGGAACAGTATTTCATGCCGGTACACCACTTTCAGCTTTACAAGGCGAAGGTTCGGCCCCACATGAAATACTGTTCCCATCTCTGGGCAGGGGCTCCCCCAGTGCCAGCTCTTTTCACTTGACCGCATCCAGCGCAGAGCGTTTCGAATCGTTGACGACCGAGTTCTTTCCGATCGGCTTGACTCACTGGCACTGCGTAGAGATGTTGCATCTCTTTACTTATTTTATCGCATCTACCAAGGGGAGTGCTCTGAGGAATTGTTCGGACTAATTCAAGCCACTCAATTTCACCACCGCACATCGCGATAAAACTCGCGATATTATCCATACCATCTGGACGACTGGCGGTCCACAACTGTGCGATTTAAAAGAAGTTTTCTTCCTCGCACAACTTCCTTGTGGAATCGATTACCACGAGCGATTTTTCCGGACCGATACGACTTAGGGACTTTCAAGAAAAGAGCTTACTCCTTTTTAAAAGGCCAGCAACGCATCTGCAATTCCTCTGGTGTGTTATATACTTAATTAAGTTCACAACGTGTTTAAATACTATAACCGATAAAATCGCTAACCCACACCACACGATTCGACAATATAAAACATAGTATTTAGTACATATTTATAGGTTTTGTACTCACCTGATCTTCATTATCCATTGCTTAGTATAGTATATTATTTTTATAATAACTACTAGTTCACATTCAATCAATTATTAATTGAATCAGAAGTAATTAAGTTCACTATTACTACGACACAACTCACGCGTGAATAACAAATTCTATTCATGTAAACAAAACAAACGCATGCGGCGATGTGCTGATAAGCCAAGCCACCGTGGAGCCGAAAACGACCGAGTGACCGGCGATAATGTCCGATGTTACAGTATCGCGTTGGTCTGTGGTCACAAAATCAATGGCATAATGTTTTTTCTTCACATCTGCATTTTTGTACAACGATAAAATAGCACTTTTCAAAGGCATAAGGTCTCATTTTGTTTGTAGACCTTAAACGAACAAATAAAATTTTTGAGGCATAACGGTATATCTCAAGGTACGACATCTAATTATTTAATTTCAAAAGGCATAAAATTCTATCTGAAAATACGTATTATTTTTACCAACAATCCTTGTAGAATAAAGTAGAATAACGAAATAGACTCTGCCTTACGCGTAAAATAATTTAAAAGCATAAAAACGGAAGTCAATGTACGACCTTCTAGTTATACTAAAATTTTAAGCATAAATACTGTAGTTGTTATCAAGCCTTAATCCACGATATAAATGCAAAAAGTCGACAGATCCGACCTTATGCATTTGTAAATCTATCAGAACAAAAACAGATAGAATGATGATTGTTATATGCTTAGAAAGAGCGCGAGATACGGGTTTCAGCTGACTATTAAAGTTAATTTGTTTCGATCTTGAAATCCGACCTTATGCGTCTCAGGTCGAGATATGTTTAAACAGGAGTACAACGTTTTCCCTTCACGTATTAATGTATAGATGAGTATATGGCCAAAATAGAAAGAAACTCATGGGTGTAGCCAAATTTTGATTCGGGTTGTGCCCAAGAATATTCAGACCGTACTCTGTTGAAGCACTGCTAAACAGCATTGGAACTTTGTTTGAGTAGAGTTGCAGACCCCCAATTTCAAGGGAGAGGGGCACTAAAATTACTCTAGGGACCAGGCCTGTCTCATTCCGCGCTCTAGGCATGAAAATATACCTACGCTTCGCGGTCCCCTACAAGGGGCTAATTCCGTGAGGTTGTCGCCCTTCTTACGTTAACAAAAATGTATTTTTCTCTTACAAGTATTTAGGCACTTTTGATATTTATTTTTGTGTTTTTATTTAAGTATGGCCTCTCAAAAAGCCAAAAGGTACTGCATAGTATGCGGGTGCTTACATAACAATAGGAATGTCGAAAATAAATAATAATATCTTACCGAACGGTACCTAGTTACTGATTCCATAGTTACACATTTATTATTTGACTAGCGACCAGACCATAGCTTCGCAGTTTTCGATATTCTTCGCGTATAATGCCAATGACCTTAAAAAATCGTTCAGTGTAAGTAGATCTCCCAGTACTAGTGACGGCCTAAGCAGCACACAAGCGTTATAAACATCAATATACCAGCCCACGTAGAACTTAGAGCTCTTTTAAAAGCGTATAAGAGTGTTGAAAAGAGGTTGTATCCTTATACGAGTGGTTTGTGAGTTATTATATAGCTCAAGCTGTATAAAGTCTGTATTATGGGATGAAGTAAGCTTAGGGTTCTTAATCAGAATATGAAAACTCTAGTATACAACTTTAAAGTATTTTGTAACACTTCAATCTGATTTTATCATTAAAGTTGTATAGAAGCTTTTAAATTTAAAGCTTTAGCGAATGATTATGACTGCATGATATAATCCATAACACACATAGTACAGCTACTAAGACTATAAGACGCTCGAAATACCGTTTAGCAATTTGTCGCCATTTTAAGACCAATGAAAACAAGTCTAAGCCTATACTATCACATTCAGTTTGACTAATGATAACTGTGCCCTAATGTGCCTTCATATCCATTTTTTTTTTATTCTAACCTATACGACCGATATTTAGTTACCGTATTTAGTATTTTGTCCTTATATTATTTTGTTATTTTGCTGGCGCGGCATTATTTGATAAAAAAAAACATATAGAAGTTTCTAATTTTGCACTTTCAATTCACCAATTTTAACCGTCAAAACTCGAACTCTAATCCGAATATAATATTAACATGTTAAATATATGTTAAGCATTAAATGTCACCATCATTCATTCATAAACGTTTTTTTTTTTGTTTTATATTCATTTGTAAATCCGTTCAAAAACCAATTAAGAACGTTTGTCTTTATAAGTTACTTATATGATAATATCTGTAGTGTAATAGTTTTCTTGCACATCAAATAACAGCTGTAATACAGCAGTTATACTGCCTCTTTTATGCTTATACAGCTACTGTACAGCGCTACTAACGCATAAAGCTGCATAATTTGTGCCAATTTTTTACTTATAAGAACTGTATAAGTGCTTATACAGTTTTTATACAGCCAGAAAATACAGCCTCTAGTATAAAAACGAACTTCAATACAGCTCGTATACAGCTTACATGCTGCTTGGGTGCCAACTAATCCAAGATCAGCATATACTGGTTATTAGTTTAACACTTGGTCGATAAAAGAAAGAGATTGAAAATAGCAGCACTTCTCTTTCTCATTGCTACTCTTTCATTAATAATGCCGTCGCGTGTCGCATGTTTGTAAATAGCAAAAAATGTGAAACAGACAAGTGACGGCTCCGTGGCGTAGTGGCTTAGCAATGAGTTGCAGCGTTAAGGGTCGCGGGTTCGAATCCCGCACGGAACAAGTATTTGTATGGCCTAAAAATAATAGTTCTTGGTCTGGATGTTTGTTCTTGTGAAATCTGTCTTTGTAAATTGCCCCCGCGATACAGGAGAAAATCTTGGTGTGGAGGTAACGTTTTTTAAAAAGAGAGGAAAAGAGACAAGTAATGAAATTGAAAATTTTGTACAACCGACTTAATAATATTATAAGCATAATAATACGCATTATTAAGCATAACTCCAAAACTACTGGTCAGATCTTGACCAAATTTATATGGGATATATAAATTATAAGCACCAACCTTCAAATAAAAAAGAATTGTCAAAATCCGTTCTATCATTTTGATTTCATACGCGCGCCGCATTATTTTTTTTATACGTGGTAGAGCCATGCTGCAGCTATATTAAAAGTATAGCTGTAGCACGAATGGGTTGCCTCGACCGGGGAAGGACCACGCTCTCACAGAATACCAGCGTAAAATAGCAGCTTAATTCTGCTGTGTTTCGTATGGTCAGTGTAGAGAACCGGAGACCCTTTTTACTGGAAATGAGGCATTCCATCTTGGTCCTCACGGGTGACAACGCATCTGCATTTTGATTTGTAATAGAGGATAGATGTAATGTCTATGGGTCTATGCAGCAACAACTTACCATCAGGTGGACTGTGTGCTCGTTTGTCACCCTTATTCTATAAAAAAAATTTTTTTCGACGATTTATTCAGTAGGCTATTTTAACCAAGGTCGTATCCGAGGCGTCCAAAGTATTATGAACATTAGCGATGTTGTTACTAGGACAAGTTTGCAATCAGAAAGTAATCCTGTTCTTGTAGTATTATTTATTCTGTGGAGGGACGTATGATACCTTCCCTAGCCACGGTCATGGCGAAACTAAAGTGTTTCATTCTTTTTAAGGCTTGCGCGTTGCAATGATCCGACGATCACGAATCGTGAAGATTGCGTGGGCGTATTTATGCGACGCGTTTTTGTCACCAAAATGAAGATAAGACCTGGACCAAATGAAACATTTCCATCAATGCTGGTGCCTAGAGTATGGTATGTTTTAACTTTCGGACTTATGACTTCTATTCTTTTATACAATAATAAATAAATAATTACTTAGAATCTAAGCCATTGTTGCCTAAGTCTTAGATAAGACCCTAATCGTTGTAATATCGTTTTACGCATTTTATAAAGCTAAGATAAAGTAAACTGTTCTGAATCAAATTTAGATTAAAACTTTGGAAATGATCGAAAAGAACTGATACATACTGACTGACTTAACTTGATATTTACGGTTAATTATTTTCTAATAATTATTTTGCCGTATAGTAACGGTGTAAAAGAATCCATTACTTGATGGCATCCCGTGGGTTACGTATGAGGCGACAGTGGGAATGAGTAAGACTTAAATAGGAGATGAGCAGCAGGATCTACACGGTACCAACTCCATAATAATAACAAATAATAAAAAATAAAGTGTGCAGTTCACACGCGGTAACCTTCAAAAAAGGCGACCGAGATGATAGGATATACTGTATACTGTTTTCTATCTCACTCTCTCGCAGGCTAAATCCTATAGATGTATATGTTTGTCTCTTTTTCATGACATCGAATTTCAAATAGCAACGATTCTAAACAAATTTTCACTTCTAAAACTATGGTTGCCAACCCATCTGTCAAGCGTAAGCTGTAAACTTGTAATGGGCTGAATTTATAATGATGATGATGAAATTTATTATTTATCAAATTAATGTTTTATTACTGTTCATTTATTATATATCAGTTAGCGGAATTATAATTTTTTTGGCATTATTAATAATACTCGCATAACGTGTGGTACACAGGGCAAATCCAAAACGATTTAACTTCGACAACATTGGCGATGCACTTTTGACATTGTTTGAAGTACTCTCATTCAAAGGATGGTTGGATGTCCGTGATGTGTTGATCAAAGCTCTTGGACCCGTGAGTATAGTTTTTGTTTCAATATTATTGTTCATATGTGTTTTCTTGCCACGGAGAAGTTTTAATTATTGCAGAGATGGTTCAGACTAAGTAATATATCTTTTAATATTAAAATTCGGGGTAATGCATTATTTTAATTGATTTTACTGCGCACGCACACATTCGTAAGGGTCGATCGGTAGGCAAAAACGTTGTTGCCCATAAATTAAATTCAATTTGGGATAATTTCAAATAAACGTAGAAGCCTTATTTACTCGTATTTTCAAAAACTGCATTAACGGAATATCATTATTTGTTTATTTGAACTTCAGTTTAATATTTGGCTACTCTGAAAAATAACCCTGTATATATACTAAATGATACTTCGTTAATATATCAAGCAACGCGGACCAAGTCGCGGGTATCAGCTAGTATCCAATCAAGGCTGATTTACACGTATTAAGAAGTCACGTAATTGATTAAATTTAAAATAAATTTTAAGCGACTCAATACACTTTTACACGTTTTCAACATTTTATATTTGTTAAGCTCTTTACGAGGGCGGCACTGAAAATTTCGGGAATCAAGGAAGTGACACAACATTACTATTTAAAAATGTATTTATTGCTTTTCGAAGTATTCTCCGCGAAATTTGACACATTTTTCCATACGATGAAACCAATCATTGAAGCAACCATTTCATTCGGAAGTTGGGGTCTCCAAAATGGCCGTTTTGTAGGCGTCCACAGCTTCTTCAGGTGATGAAAATCTCTGTCCACGCAATTTGTTCTTTATTTTAGGGAAAGTATAGAAATCATTAGGGCTTAGGTCGGGGCTGTACGGCGGATGGTCTAATAATTCTATGTTTTCTTGCTCTAAAAACTCTTTTGTTCTGTGTGCGGTGTGAGAACTCGCATTGTCGTGATGGAGGATGATGCGGCGATTGTAGTTCTCTTTACGGAGTTCAGAAACGACCTGTGGCAAACAAATGCTAGCATACCATTCTGCATTAACCGTTCTTTGTCCCTCGAGAGGATTAGTCGTAACATGGCCGGTTTTGGAGACAAACGTGGCCACCATTTTTTTTGCAACACTCCGTGAACCAACAATTTTTGTTGGCTTTAACTCATTTTCGAACACCCAAACTCGTGACTGGTTTTATGTTTCGGGTTCGTACGCGTATATCCAGGATTCGTCACCTGATACGATGTTATATACAGCATTTGAAGATCCTGCGTGGAATCTTTCGAGAGTTCTGACGCACCAAGTAACGCGAGCCGCTTTTTGCTCTTCATCTTCACAGAGCGAATGCGGTATCCATCGGGAAAACAACTTTTTTACACCTAACTGTTCATGCAAGATTATTTGTATTTGACTCATGCCAATGTCTAAAGTTGCCTGAATTTCGCGGTATGTCACATGTCGATCTTCCTCAATCAGCTTACGCACATCATCAACGCTTTCTTGGGTGACTGCAGTTTTTAGACGACCTTGACGGGGATCATCACTGAGTTTGACACGTGCACGTTGATATTCAACAAACCAGCGATAAATTGTGGTTTTGGATGGGGCTTCATCACCAAATGCAGAAGTCATCCGGTCAACACTCTGTTTTTGTGTTAAACCACTTCGAAAGTCATTATAAATCTTCGCTCTTGAATTTTCTCGAGTCAATTCCATTTTCTCAACGACTAAACAAGTTTGATAAAACCTTGTGGCAAGACCGAGAATCTTTTTTTAAATAAATAAATTGTATTCGATTTTTAAAACCAAGGACTTTTCAATTAAAAAAATTTTAATATGACAGGAACAGTGGAAATTTTCTATTCCCGATACTATTAGTGCAGCCCTCGTAGTTTGTCCGATGAACAACCGACAGCACGTTCCTGTCATAATTTCAGTGATTAAATTCGTAATAGTTGTCGCCCAATTATCGAAATTCGATCTTAATTTATTACATTTTTACGAATGTTTATTAAGCAAGCTATATCACTTCAACTTAAAAACATAGATATTGTATTATTACGTGCTATTTTATTAACTTGATAAAGGCCATTGACCCTTATCTACATACAGATATATGATATACAAAATATAAAATAAACTCTTTTTAGCCTTGACATACACTTCACAGTCTATTATTGTTCAGACTTAAAGACTGATTTTCCTTACATTGTTGCAATTTCTATTGAGATGTTAAGCTTCAGTAACATTCTAGCACAAAGATGATGCATTAGGCAACTGGCTGTCGTAACAATTTATTTCATATGTATGTATTTCAAAAATGTTTACAAAGTAAAACATGTTAAAGTAAATGGGAACATACAATTCTCAATTTCTATTTTTGATAAAAAAGTATATTTTTTATTTTTTGATATCAGCTTGCAAAAAATTTTTCATCTTTTGTTATCTTAACACTAATAATACGTTATTTTCTGTTTTCTTTCAGGTTCATGCTATTTACATACACGTCTACATATTTTTGGGCTGTATGATTGGATTGACTTTGTTCGTGGGTGTTGTAATCGCAAACTACTCTGAGAACAAAGGCACCGCTTTATTGACGGTTGATCAGCGACGATGGTAATAGAGTTTCTTTCAAAAATTTTCGAAGACGTCTAATATTATTTCAAGTAAAAGGTCACTTACCGGTGGTTATCCAATAATAAAAAAAATAGCCTTGGACATAATTTTGATAAAAATAATAGAAAATATTCATCAATAATTTTAAATAATTGTTTAGCGAAGAATTTAGATTTATTCTGCTTCTTCATCATTTCGTATATTATGTCCAATGCTGGACATAAGTATCTCCAATTTCAGTAAAGATTTGTCTCAATCGTCACTTTTGGCAGTCGGATTGAAGATCGCAGTGCCGGACGCTCGCATCTTTGACAATACAGCCAGTTGCCGGTCTAAGTATTTCACGTATGGCGTTAGGAGAACGGTTATACCGCCTATCTATCAGAAGCCATAAGATTTTTCTGATGCTTCCTGAAATGGGATTATGAATTCTTTTACGCTGCCATTACACGGCTATTAATATATTTAGCTAAATAGTGAATAATATTGACCAGAACATGCTGATATTTTTATTCATATATTTGAGTATCACGACTTAAATATTATCATTTAATATTAATTTATATTGATGTAATATCGGATTCTGGGAACGAACGAACGAACTTTGATATTTCATGTTAATATTTCCTGTATAAACAAACCCCATACTTATATTCACTACGCTAATGATCAGACTACAGTTCTGGAACCTAGGATCCTGGGTTCTAATCGCTACAAGAGCCAACATTAGTGCGACGGCATAAATTGTTAGTTTTTCGGGTCTTAGTTGTGATTGCCTCTTGTCTCTAACACTGTCTTGCCTTCGATGTTACCGCGGCTTTACGGCTTTCTGTTAGCGCGGACTCTCATGGTACTATAACATCTTTTGCGCACTTGAGAATTTCCGACGGCATTGGTAATTTATCGCCGTTAAAATCGATCAGTGTCATCAATTATTTAACATCGAACACCTCTCTCCAGGTGTGATTTAAAGAAGAGACTGAAAATTGCTCAGCCGCTTCATTTGCCTCCTCGACCTGATGGCAGGAAGATTCGCGCCTTTGCTTATGACGTCACGCAAAATTTAACATTCAAACGGATCATCGCTATCGTTGTCCTCATTAACAGCGCCTTACTGGCTGTTACGGTAAGATGCTTAAAATAAAATTGAGGTATCGATTTTATATCTTTTAAAAAAAGTAAAGTTGCAGCCTATTTACGTCCCACGGCTGGATACAGGCCTCCTCTCATTTCTTTTTAGGACAAGGAAATGTCCGCTGCGCTGCCCCAATGCGTGTTGGCGAACTTCACATGTCTTCGAAATATTTTTTTTTATTTCTCAGACAAGCACGATGTTTCCTTCACCGCCGAGCACGTGGTAAATCAGCACTTAAAATTGCAATTAACAATTTCATTGGTGCCGGCGGGGATCGAACCCATGTTGCTCGCGTACTGTGAAGCTTATAGCGAGCGCTAACCATCTGTGCTACCATGGCCTTTATCTATATCTATATCTTTTAATCTTGAGTTAAAAAAATTCTAGCATATAATTCTTCACTTTCCTAGAATGTTTTGATGGACTGGAAAGAATAAGGTATCAACTGCTGACGATATAGTCGTTATGGAAGCATCGCTGAAGGATCTCAGCACTATGCTCCCAACGGACAAATCTTAAAATAAACATATGTTTATGGACAAAACAAAAGTGACGTGTGATGTTCATGTGACACGTATGCCGGTAGTCGTTACTAACACTAAGCTCGCAGTTGTTGACGAATACAAATACCTAGTTGGGCAGCGTTCGGGAAATTACGGCACATCTTTTCGTCAGGTATACCTCAAAACTTGAAAACGAGATTTTATAACCAGTGCGTGTTGCCAGTGATGACCTATGGAACTGAGACGTGGTCCTTTACTGCTGGCCGGATGAGGAAGCGCAAGGTCGCTCAGCGAGCTATGGAGAGGGCTATGCTCGGAGTTTCTCTGCGTGTTAAACTTAGAAATGAGGATATCCGCAGTAGAACCAAAGGCAAACTTATTTATCACGCAGATGGTAGTTGTTGCAGTGGCAGTTAATTTGATAATCACCTGAAACACGAAATTTTTGATGCGAATCGATTACACAGTTTTAAGTGAAGTTATTTTGTAATTGTTAACGTTCTAACTGAGGGAGTTTTGGAGTCGTCGGTCATTGTCGCTCAGTATACGACAGTTCATAAACATAATAAAAGAAATGAAGTGATGAATGTTTGCGTGAATGCAGTGGTCGCGGCACTCGGCGAACACGGAGCGGCTGGCGCTGACGTCGGCGCTGCTGACGCTGGTGTTCGTGGTGGAGGTGGTGCTCAAGACCATCGCCTTCACGCCGCGCGGCTACTGGCAGAGCCGCCGCAACCGCTACGACCTGCTCGTCACCGTCGCCGGCTGCATATGGATCTTCATGCACTTCACGCTCAAAGTAACCCATTACATATTAAAAAAACTGATTTAAAATTTCGTTTTTAGTACTTAGAGTCTTATATTCATTATTTTAAAAAGGAATTCTGCAGTCCAGCACTAGTATATTTGACTTTTATTTTAGAACGACCTATCGTACTTTGTGGGATTCATGGTGGCTATTCTGCGTTTCTTCACAATTACGGGGAAGCACACGACATTGAAGATGCTGATGCTGACTGTGGGCGTGAGCGTTTGCAAGAGCTTCTTCATTATATTCGGCATGTTCCTCCTGGTGTTCTTCTACGCGCTCGCTGGCACGATAGTATTTGGCAATGTTAAATACGGCGAAGGAATCGGAAGGTACCATTTTCATGTAACAATTTCATCATTCATGTTTTGTTTTTCAATACAAATCAAATGTAAGTGTCAGTTTGTAAAAAAACGTATATGTATTATTCTAATATTAAGACTCGGTCTACCCTCATTATCAACTTCTCATTTGGTGACAAATTGAGAGTTTTTATTAGAAATAATATAGTGTTAATATTAGAAATAATTTTAAAGTCTTCTATAAAAACCGACGAGTTGCTATGCACAGCACATGAAAGAATTATTTATAGTGCACGAATGTGTGCTCAAGCAGAGGCGCACTCTCTATTACCTCTATGTATACTCTAATGGAAGGGTAATCCGATTTGACAATTGCTATGTGTATCAAAGACTTATTTTTTACAAATTAAACCGGATAAAGATAATAATTTTTATTTCAGGCGTGCGAACTTTAACTCGCCAATACACAGCGTGGCGATGCTTTTCCGTATAGTGACGGGTGAAGACTGGAACAAGATCATGCACGACTGTATGGTAGCGCCGCCATACTGCACGCCCGCAGACAACTACTGGGAGACGGACTGCGGCAACTTCACCGCCTCGCTCGCATACTTCTGCACTTTCTACGTCATCATCACATACATTGTGCTCAACTTGCTTGTCGGTTCGTAACACTTTGATTCCTTTACGTGGTAATATCTAAATGTTATTTAATTGGGCAGGATAAACTACCACAACACTTCGAATGACATTTCTTTACACCTTTGTACCATATTTTTTTTACAATGACACCTTTTATAGCCTTGATCTGAAAGTGCCTTCGTGGTTATTTTTTTACCGCCCAGAAATACATGAAGACAACCCTGCTCCTCCCCTTCCCTTCCGCTCCTTTTTTTTAACTTAGTTCATCTGCTGTTATTTATTTTACAGCACCCTTTAATTCTGCGTATCTTTTTTCTCCTTTTGATGTATTTCTGTTTTGTTTTTTTTATTTTTTATTAGAAATATGCTATTACCAAATTTTTACAAACATTAAAAACTTATTCTCTATTAAGGGGGATCCTCCGATAGTCGCGCCGTACATTTTTGTTTTGAAATATACGTTAAACACAGACACTATTTGTTTAAAACTAATCATTTTATCACTTTTCTATACTGAAATGTGCTCGCAATTGACCTTATTAGGAAATAACTTACAGTAAAACTTACAGAAAAACAATAGTGAAATCTAGGAAAATTTTGACACTTCTTTAGTAGTGTGAGTGAATTTTGACAACTTGACAAGCAAAAGCGCCAAAACATAGCTTAAACATTGGCACGCTAGATGATGTGCAGACGATATTGTTGTCCAACAAATACTATTATTCGTAGGTAGATATTATGCAACGATGCCGTACTTCCTAACCTTGAACTAGATGCAGAAGAAAAAGCGATGCCAAACTTCCTTGTCTTGTTTGACTGTAATAAAATTTAAACATTCTATAGTAAATCTCGATTGTCAAGGGATAGGATTTGCGCGCGGAATTTCTTGCGATTTATATTATATTTTTGTATGATTTTCATTGATTCAATTTGCAATATTTATAGTATTTGATTCCAATATAATACAATATATTGTAATTTATTGTAGGTATAGTAATTAATTATTCAAAATACGCAATTTTGTTTTCGGTGGTATTAGAAACGCAAGTTGACCCGTGATTTCAAATCTCGTTACAATACTAATTACCTATGTCATACGTGTCGGTGTTGAGTACAAAACTACAAAGTCAGTGTTTTGTTTGAATATTTTTTTCAACAATAAATAAAATTATAAATTGGTAAACCACCAAAGTAGTCACAAAATTAATATTACAAACATTTGCAAAATATAGTTTTGCGGGGTTACGTAAAAATATCTATTACGTACTTTGCAAACAGTTTCAGACAGACACATTATTATTAGTTTGTTTTAATTTGTTGTAGTACCAAGCTCAAGGTCGCGTCGTATCGTTTGTTTGTTGTTGTTGGTCCTGGACTTTTTTAGTTGATTTGTCCTTGGATAACAGATGAAAATAATGGTTATGTATTTAATATTTATTTTGTTTTGTTATGGTTATTAGATTAATAATTATTTATTTATTAATAAAATGTTTATAAATAACATAATTATAAATATTAAACTTTATAAAAATAGAATAAAAATAAATGTAAGTGTATTATCTAAAAATTGGTTAACACATATATAAGCCATAGTAGCTCAGATGGTTAGCGCTCGCTACAAATTTTACACTACGCGAGCAACCCGAGTTCGAGCCTAGCCGGCACTGATGAATTTGTTACCTGCACCGCGGCGGACATTTTCTTTTTTTGCCCTAAAACTAATCTAATAAAAAAATAATCAACAAGTGAAATGATTTTTGTTTTACTAAAAGCTTTTGTAGTTGTGTGTGCTTTGAAATTAGGAAATATTTTTTCACCTTCCTGGTAATTATCGCATACTGTTGGCGACTCGTCTATAAATAATATTTCAATTTATTAGTATACCAATTACGAATAGCTTCTAAAGATAAATTATCAAGCAATAATTAAAAACAAAGAAAACGATTAGTAAAATTTAAAAAAAAACTTCGATTTAATATCTTAAGGTCCAGGGTTCGATCCACCGGTTGAATTACTTTTGTTATTTTCTTAACAAATTTAAAGGAAATTTTGAGATAATGTTCTAGAAACCAGGGTTCAGTCCCCGGTCGCAACGATTACTTGTTATCTTTTTGAGATTAATTTAAAGTTGTGTATTACATTATAACTATCTGTGTAAAATAAATACAAATTTTGTATAAAAATAAATGCTTCAAATACTTGTTTTGATCATTAATTTCAATAGTGTTAGATTATAAAATAAAACTGCGTTTTATTGTTCTTAGTGTTGAGATAATTTATTTTCCAAGATTATTATTGAATTAAATAGTTTATTTACGCCTACAAATATAAGTTAAAAAAGTTACAGCCTATGAACACGTCCCACTGCTGGGCACAGGCATCCTCTCATTTCTGAGAGGGTTTTAGGGCAAGGAAAGGTCCGCCGCGCTGCCCCAATGCGTGTTGGCGAACTTCACATCTCTTCGAAATATATTTTTTTTCTTATTTGTCAGCCATGCAGGTTTCCTCATGATGTTTTCCTTCACCGCCTAGCACGTGGTAAATCAGCACTTAAAATTGCAATTAACAATTTCATTGGTGCCGGCGGGGATCGAACCCGGGTTTCTCGCGTACTGTGAATCTTACAGCGAGTGCTAACCATCTGAGTTACCACGGCTCATTTTACAAATATAACTTTTATTTTTGTAACATAATCGTACAATACTGGTATTCAGTTGTATCCGGTTTGACTGGGATCCGACACCAATATAGTTGGAAAAAGGCTAGGCAGATGATGAATCGTATATGTATAATATAAATGAAAAAATTTATTAATTATATCTATTTAAATAAGTCATGAAACCCCCGTGGCGCCCTTAAATTATTATTTGCCCTTATATTTGCACCCTTAAATTAATTATTTTTATTTTCCCCATTGTTCTGTATGTTTTTTCTAATCTAGAGAAGAATTTTCTTGTGACAGCTCCAGTATCCGATTCGTTGTATCGTTCCTGCCAAATTGTTACTGACTTATTTTGTCCCTGATGAAGCGCTTTGCGACTGACTGAGGTAAACAGTCATAACTTAGGCTTTGTTTAAGCGTTTCTGTTGCCGACTGTGTTCATCGGCTCTTTCATTTCCGGCTATACCGTCGTGTGCCTTAATCTAGTAAAACATTACTTCTCCACCCTCTCCTTTTATTTGTCTTATGCTTTTTTGTATTTCTGCTACTATGGGATTAAGCGTGTTCGAATTTGAAACAATCTAGTGCTGATCTAGAATCGCTTAATATATTTGCGTGTTTCAGTTTTTTATTCCATTTCATGATTTTTGTAGTTTTAAGTATAGCTGCGAGCTCAGCCTGACACACGCTGCAATAATTTTAGTCTTATTCTTGATTTGTGGACGGATTTCATTGTCATCAATCCAACACGTTACCGCTGCTCCAACCTTTCCTAATATTTTACTGCCATCGGTGTAGATTTTTGGCCAGTTATTACGAGTATCTATTTTGTCGAAGTCATCTTGTGTTGTTATTAGTTTATATATTTCGTTGGACCTTTTGGCTGGGTGTGGTAACTTGTACGCACTGACTAGTTTTGCTAGAGTTCTTCCAGGTAAGTGACTTATAGGTTTTCTTCTCTTTATCTCGTACAACTCTTTCTTTTCGAGAGCTCTTAGGTCAAATGGTAAAATTCTTGGTAGTAGTAGAGAACATTCTTGTTATTATACCCAGCTTCTTCCTTATTTGCACTTTAGTTGCAGTAAATCCCTAAGCGCTAGAAGCATAGAAACAGTAGGTTCTGTGACTGATATGTAGATGTTCATTAATGTTTGTTAGTTTAGGCTTTTTAGTGGTAGGCATGTGTACTCTTAATTTTTTAGCTGTTGTAGACAGTTTGTCTTGTAAGATGTTCCAATCTCCTTCCGACTCACAGTTAATAAGCAATTTCTGGTTTTCAGTTTTTTTTTACACTGTTTATGCCTTTGCCAAGTTCTACCAGCTTTCCCCTTTTTGACCTGTTCAATGATTTCATCACTAGTGTTTCTAGGATTAATTGACTCTAGTATGAATGGGAAATTAGACCTTGCTATATCTTCTGAGTGAGAGCTTCTGATGTAGCTTTACCTTATTCACGTTTCGAGTATATCGGGTTTCGGCTTCGTTCATATCCTCGTACTGTTGTTTTATTGGGCTCACTTCTGTCTTGTCTAATATATTCACTGCCGTATTCTCTTTTACCTCTGTTCTTAATCCTTCTATTGCCATCCTTATTGGTGCAGCTGTACCAACTATAGTGTCCTTTAATTCTCTTATTCCTTTTTTTAATTCGTCTATACTTGCTTGCACTGGGATTACGTTTGAACTCCCTGTGTAACTGTGTAACATTGATTTTTTGTATCTCTTGTATGACCTTCACTTATTCCTGTTTAATGTCGTCAATCGCTAACATAATCTGTTGTTTCATGTCACTTATGAAGTCTTTGACGTTTTGAATTATGTATTGTTATTTAGACTCCAGATTCCGCTCCTTTTCTGGCGTTTCTGTTATTTTCTCTGTAACTATATGATCTGCAACACTCGATAGAATCTCACGTATGTCTTTTATTTCCTTCTCCATTGGAGGTGTTGAAATTCCATGTTTTCGAGGACTACGTCGGATTTCAATGCTGTCTTGAAATCGTTTCAGCTCATCCGTAAGGTTCTGAACCAGGTTCGAGATTGAGTTTGTAGTCGATAATTTGCGTCGGGCCGAGGTACCTCACGCTTTGTTTCTATTATTGCCGTACATAGGACATACGACAGGATTAATCGTGTGGACTCAGCCTCTTTTTGAAATTTTTCTATGTGTTCTTTAAGTAGAGAATACTGTCCGAGTGTATCATGCATAAATCTAGCGTGTCTCTAAGTCAATCTTTCTGACTCTTTCGACACGTTTAATTTTTGCTTATTTTCCTCTAACATGTGGAGCATTCTGGACTCCGATAGCTTTACAATCATCGCGTACATCGTATACAGGCCAGACACGACGTTTTCTCTTATCCCTCTTTTTAAATTTCCTGATTTCGCCAGATCTGCCTTTGCCCTTTACATAATTTGATTTACATTTCTGGGTATTTCATTTAACAGCATCCTGTTCCCACAAATGGATCACGTTGATGCATGTAGCGAAGTGATAGTGTTTGAACTTTCTACCTCAGACTCCGCTGTGTCTTCGGCTTCAGATAAGACTCTTAGAGCATCCTAGACTTTAGCTGGACGCAAATTAAATAAGCCAGGGCGGCTTACTTAATTTGCGTTCTTATGCAAACCAAGCACGAACCAGATTTGGTTAGCAGTGGAGATGAGGTTACCGCTTCATCCATCTGTATCACAGTACCTGTATGTTCAGTCAAATAGTTCTATTTTCCCCAACATTCCAAAGACATCTTGGTTGTCAATTTCCAAGGGTGGTCCTGTCATGTCTCCAACCATAGCGCTCGCTGAACTTCTCAGCAATTGTTGGCTGGACTGCCTCGTTATTTTTGAAGTAAGTAGTGTCAGCATCTGACTTTTTTGCCCCTTAGTCAATGGATTGCTGATCTTCTTCTTAGAAATAACAATTCTATCAGAGCTTCCTGACTCAGATTTTTGGGCTTAACTGACGTTTGACTAGACGTGGACATAACTATATGAGAGTTATTATACTCTGTTGATTTTTATTCCCTAATTTCACCAACTATGTTTGTAAAGTCAAGGTTGATAATCTCTATATATAGTTTTAGTTGGTGTCAAATCAATAGAATGAGATTCGCTCAATGCTATGCAGAAAACCGTTACTCAAAAAGAACTCTCGTTCCAAAGTTTTACACACCTGCTCTATATTGAGTCAACTATACAGCCTATCGAAAGAACAAGATTCGCTGATATGTCTTTCGAAAACCGCCGCTCGATACGACCTTCTGTTCCGGAGATATGACGGATTAAAAATCGGCAAAAGGCGGAACAATATAGCTGAATTATGTTGAAAATTGTATCTCTTGCAATATTGCACCTAGGGTATCGAGTTTGGGCTCAATCTTCTTGGCCTGGTGTCAGTAATCTGATATTGGTCATCGTTTTATGTGTCAACTATACAGGTGGTTTCTGGGTTTCTAAGTATGCTACTGGTTCTATTATTAAGTATATTGAAAACCCCAACTCTACGATCAACTGTTCCAAAGATATTAATAATCAAAGTTTAGGAGGTTTTCACAATATGGCGTCCTTAAATGACAATTTCTTGTTTCTCTGCAGCGGTTGATGCTAGACCACTCGACTTTGGTATTGTTGAATAGGTCTTCGAGCGCTCTATATGGACAACGGTATAACATTTTGGACTTTTATATTTAAATTAGTATTTATTGTTAGAAAAAAAAATCAATAACTATTGATTTTGAAGACGAAAATATTTGGAAAAAATGTCTATTTTACTTAATTTTTTCCCTCCTCCCTCCTGCCAGAGAGTACACCTGACATTACCCAGCCAGCGTTGGATAAAATTAGAATTGGACAAAAAATTGTAGATTTATTCGGGTAGACTCCGAATCTGTATTGAATTTGGTGATATTTCGGGCTTTACCCAAGGAACTTAGATAATCCTAAGTGTACCCGGGTAAACCTAGATTTGCTTACTCTTATAAGTTTACCCGTAACATATATTATACTTACTTTTATGCTCATAGTATAAAGTTATTTCTTTTGAACAACAATACATACATACATTCTTGCTCAACAATACATACATTTAAGAACCCTAATGTTAGTTTTTATAAATATTAAAGATGACAAACTTGAGAGACATAATAAAGATGGCATATTAAGGGATGTGAATTTAAATAATGTTAATTCATTAATATGCTGCCAAAATATCATTTTACTTCATTATGCGGCTAACCAAATGTTATGTAAATCTATATGATTCACAATAATATGACAATTAATGTTATGCTATGAGAGGGACACCCGTGTTCATTGCATTTTTCATCATTTTTATTTTTAATTGTTGATTATTGTTACAGCTATCATAATGGAGAACTTTTCATTATTCTATTCGAATGAAGAAGACGCTTTGCTGTCCTATGCAGACATAAGGAATTTCCAAAATACCTGGAATATTGTAGATGTACATCAGAAAGGTGTTATACCTGTACGCAAGGTGAGAACGAACATTGTTTTATAGATTAGGAGTTACGAAATTGATGCTAAGTAAATGCTCTGGCCCATAGACATCTATATTCTACCCTCGATTAAGAATCAAAATGCAGATGAAAAGTGTCTATGGTTCTCTACACTCACCATATGAAACACAGCAGCATTAAGCTGCTATTTCACACTGGTAGTCTGTGAGATAGAGCCGTGGTATGCGAGTAACCCGGGTTCGATCCCCGTCGGCACCAATGATATTGTTAATTGCAATTTTAAGTGCTGATTTATCACGTGCTCGGCAGTGAAGGAAAACATCGTGAGGAAACCTGCATGTCTGAGACATAACGAAAAAAAATATTTCGAAGACATGTGAGGTTCGCAAACACGCATTGGGGCAGCGCGGCGGAAATGCCCTTGACCTAAAACCCTTTCAGAAATGAGAGGAGGCTTGTGCCCGGCAGTGGAACGTTTATAGGCTGTAACTTTAACTCTGTGAGATCGTTGTCCATTTCGGTCAAGTTGACCCATTCGTGCTTACAAATATAATACAGCTACAGCATGGCTCTACTACATATAAAAACCTAATAATTCAGTTATTACCATTAGTGACTAGTTTTATTTAGCTATTGCCTTTTTTGACTTAATTAAACAATTAAGCTAAAAAATTAAACAATTTTGCAAAAAAACTAAAAAGTTTTGCTGCCAATAAATTCAAATGTTTTTTTTAAGAGACTTCGGTAATTTTTGATCCTCTATGTTCTAATACTTTTTTATATTTGCGCGAACAATCTCCCTGTGTCAATGGGTTCTGTCTGAAAAGTACTCGAAATATCGGGAATATAATTATAATAAAATAAGTTAATATAATATGCGATAAAATCCATATAAACCAGTTTCAGTAGATATAATTTTTGTTTATAGGTTAAGTTCATCTTACGATTGCTGAAGGGTCGTTTGGAATGTGATACACATAAGGAGCGTTTGCTGTTCAAATACATGTGCTACGAACTCGAGCGTCTGCATAATGGAGAAGATGTCACCTTCCATGACGTCATCAAGTATGTTCTATGTTACTTCAAAAACTTGGCTCCTGGATTAAAGTCCATTGTACATCAGAAAGCTTTGATCAATTGTGCCGGTTACTATTAGCTGCGATTTTAAGTAGAGATTTGGATAATAGCAAGCAGAAATGTTTTCTTGCTTACTTCAAGTCAAATCACAATTTATTTATACTTATTAAATTTTGATAAATCTTGTGACTTGTTCTTTTGTCCAGAAAATAATTTAATTATTTATTTATTTAGTATTATAGACATATACTCTAAAGCCTTGTGCGGACTAAGTGTTCCAATGTAGGTACGCGTAATCTAGGTATGTTGAATACGCATACAGGTGGATACACGTTCCGGTAGTGTATACATTGCGGGATTATGAACGCGTGGTGACAAGTCGCAAGTCGACAAGCCAGTATCCGCCATGTCTCGAAACACAGCTGTCGTGTGCACCACCCACTACTGCGGCACTTCTCATTTTCCAACCGAAAGCGACACGCGTGCTTAAATTGTTGTCAACACGTTGTTGCAGGTACGGACGAGCGTTCCTGTGTACCCGTAACCGACTGCGCGTACATTGTAACGCTTAGTCCGTATGAGGCTTTACAAGTGAAACCCAATGCACAAAAATATATTATAAAACCGCACAGAATGAAAGCTTCATATTACCGGCGTACGCGAGAACACTACTATATGCACAGCTATGTATGCGTGACTTGTCGCCGACAAGGCGGAGGGGGAGGGGGGTGCACCGGCGCCCGCTAGGGTACAAACAGGTTTGAGTCCGCTCAGGGAGCGGACAAGTTAAAGTGTGCCACTGGTAGTGACACGACAACGCAGACGTTTAGTTTTGTTCTAAAGATACCAAACTGTTGTACTGTGTGTACAAATAATGGTAGAAAACCAAGATTTTTTTTGTATATCCAAAGGATCTTGTCAGGTAATTACATATCTATATCTAAGTATACTTACCAAAACATTTTAATGCATAAATTGCACAAGTATTTAGTTACGAGTCATATCCAAAATAACTAAGATGACGATAAGGTTTTCCCATAATTATTAATTAATATTCTTAATATTACTTATCGTTTACCAAATTACCGCCTATATTGGCGTAGGTATTATTGTTCGTCTCCTATTTGTTCCGTACTTATTTTTTTTTTGTTTTAGTATGTACCAAAGTGTGTTTGTAAGCCATCTTACCAAGATTCCGTTTGACTTTTTCTAATAGATACTTAACTTACGTTCGTAAAATACTAAAACAAGAAACATATAAGAAAACCTTATAGTTTCGACATGTCCGTCTGTCCACCCGTCTGTGTTCATTGCTGAATCCCGACTCGCACTTGGCCGGTTTTTATTTTCAATAACTGATTGACAACTCTATGAAAGTAAGTATTAAGTAAAAATTTTGATCTCTCTTAGGAAGCTTTCATTCTACTCAATTTTATATTCTTGTGCCCAATGCGATATGATGCAAGTGTCAAACATACTGCTTTTTTTCTTTACTTTTCTAGTCAGTCTACCAGTCTACCATATTATTTAATATCATTAAAAAAAAAACTTTATTATTCATATGAAAATGTTTAATTTCCTTTGCTAATTTTTTTTATCAAAATGACAACAGAAGCAAGAAAATAGTAGCCTCTACAATACCTCTTGTAGTACGAGCCTGACCTACTACTAGTAATTTTAACCCTACACCACTACACTAGACTGGTATTACGGTGGCTTTTACACTATTCTTTTATCTTTTGAGGTATGGCTTATGAGTTATTTTCAAAAAAATTCTTGGTTTATTAATTATCACTTCCTAATTAAAATATTAACACTATATAATATATTTAGGTGTATTTTAATTTTATCTTAATATTATTCCAGTATGCTATCTTACCGCACAGTCGATATCCGGAAGAGTTTACAAATGGAGGAATTGTTAGCTAGGGAAGAGTTCGAATTCTTGATCGAAGAAGAAGTTGCCAAGCAAACCATACGTACTTGGCTCGAAGGCTGCCTCAAAAAAATACGAGCCAACAGCAGCGTGAGTAACATAAAAACTATTACTTTGCCGTTATTTGATATGCAGTGATGACTCCAAGGTATGATGACACCTAGTGACGCATTAAAACAAATTCTTAATACAATAGGAGAGGTTAATATCCATCTGTGACTTGTTACCAGCCGATAGAGAAGAAAGAACAAGCAAAATAATTAATATTCAACATTCATTAAAGTTGTTAATTTCTGCCGCTGTCTCACGAGTATTGTACTGTATTGTAGTGAATTTCATTAAACACCTTATTGCTTTTAGACTCAAAAGTAGTTAATAATTAGTCGCAGACTTAAATTAAAGTCTGTTTTAATAAAGATTTTATAACATACGAATGTATAGTATGCATGTTGACAGCAAATCTTAAATAAATCTGACCTTAAACCATAGTTTAAACCTAAGACTTTCAATAAACCACGTTTCGTACGTTTCAATAAAACTCGTTACGAGACGGTATTGTATGTTTTTTGCATTTAGTTTAAATAATTTATCTGGCCCAAATATTATATTTAACCGATTTAAAAAAAAAAGATCTAAAAGCCTAAGCCTATTTAATTCCAATATAATATGTTTTTTTTTTTAATGTACATAATTATCTTTTATTTACAGAAACAACAAACAAGCCTGATTGCTGGTTTGAGAAAAACGAATGAACAGATTTTGGACATACCCAACGAGAAATCAGAAAAAGAGAAACTAGATACAGAAACTCAGGTGAACTTAAAATAAACGCATTAAAAGTATTTTAAAAATCCCAATTGAATGAAGCCTAATAATCTCTTGCTCACCAGATGTCGCTAGTTACGACTAAGGTGAAATTCATTAACACAGAGTCTTCCTCATTAAAATATATATATGTATATTTTAAATATACACAAAAATATGCTTAAATTTTGTGTTGTTTTTTAATTAATTGCACACATTATTGACTGTCCTTTTAATTTTTGTACTTTTAGCCAACTTTTAGCAATATCCGTAGTTTTATTTAATCACTAGCTGACCCGGCACATTTTTAAAAAGTCTTATTATATGAACAGCTTAAACCTTTTGACTAATAGGACCATCAAGCGTTATGACAATAAACTTTAAAAAATGGAATAATGTAACCCTTCTTTTTTTCGCCTTCCGAAGGTTGATAAAACGTGCCTATACGTTATACACGTACTTGTAGTGCCTACGTATCAAATTTTATGAAAATCTGTCCAGTAGTTTCTGTGTGAATCGTGAACACACAAATTTTTTACAGATTTATTATATGTATAGATTTTTAATCTAATTAATATGAAATCTAACATATATTTCAGAAAGAAATATAACTTTACCATTTTCTAACAATTTAACTTTCTCGCCATGAAATTATCAAATATTTCATATAATTTCAAAGTTGCGCCGCCCTTGTATGGACAAATTTGTGGAAGCCTTCATTGACGATGGCGGTTGCTGCACATATTATTTGTCAAAAGAATGAATAAATTTTCGGCTCGTCAACTTCAATAAAACATTAAATTTTGTTCATATTTCAGCAAGTGGTTGCCAACGCGGGTCGTACAGAAATAACAGAGTCTACTTCTCAACCGATAATGTCAAGTAAGTATTAATAAAGATTTCTTATGTTTACGCGAATGCTACTCATCAAATGGAACTAATTTTTACGGATTTTGACGCGTTTAATTTTATTATACTCTTTGATCTTTGGGGATCACAATCGCTTCTGTCAATCCCATGTCCTTCCTCTTATTTGAATTTTATCAAGATCAGCGCAGCCGTTTAGGCGTGAAAAGTTGACAGACAGACAGACAGAGTTACTTTCACATTTATAATATTAGTATGGATTTAAGTCAATCAGTATTAAGTCTTATTTCACCCAAGTTTCATCCAAGTAATATATTGGTCGTTGTTGCTGTCGGTAAGTTTTTATATTTTTTCTAATTATTGATACTCATGTTATGTCATCTCTATCGATTAACCCATTATTTCTCCTTAGTTTGACATACTTAAACTTCAAATGTTTCAGTAATTTATTCAATGATATCAAGCCCATGTTTGGTAAGGATTTATCTGCATTTATGACATGTAGCACCTTTTTTGTACAGCAAAAAAGGTGCTACATGTCTAACTTGGTAACACTCCTTTTAAATAAAAGCTGTGCACTATTCTTCTAATGTACGATTTATCGAACCTATCAATCATTTCAATTAATGAAAGTTGTTTTTTCGGTGATGCAGCTGGATTGACAGTGTCTGTTTCGGTGTATTCTTTTAAAGTGCGATATATGGCCGATTTCAAAATGCCCAAGATATCGGCTGTTTTGTTCTTCATTTCTTTTTTTAAGGATATTTATCGGCAGGCCAGGATTATTTAACGTATTCCCTTCTCAGCAGTATGTGAACATGTTCACATTAATCCAAACCACCGCATCAAATTTGATTTGATAGACCTCAATTCACCTTAAATCACAAACAAAAAAAACACCGATCCCCGCCAAGGATGATTCGCGAGGCTATTGAAATTAATGAACATCGATATTTTCAAAAGAAAATATGGTTGGTATAGAATTCCATAAGTAATAAAATAGAATTCAAACCCAAGCATACCCAAGCATGTGTCTGAAGTCGAATCTTCGCTGAACAAAGTCTTGGATTAGAGGAGACTAAATCTAGTCCAGTTCAATCCCCAGAAGACACAAGTTTGCGCGTTTACCGCTAAAAATAACCCCTTTATCGTATCTACTCAGTTTCAAGGCACTCCCTTTGCTGCCTCAGCTAGCATCAGAGTTCTCGGCGTCGACGTATCGACGAGTAGTGTGCAGTTTCGTGGTCACTTGGAAGGGAAGGCCAAATTGGCCTTTAAAAAACTTGGCGTGCTCAGCAGAGCGAGAGAGTATTTCATGCCGGCACACCGCTTGCAACTTTACAAAGCGGAAGTTCGGTCTCACATGGAATACTATTCTTATTTCTGGTCCGGGGAACCCCAGTGCCAACTCCTTCCACTTGACCGCATCCAGCGCAGAGCGGTTCGAATCGTCGACGACCGAGTTCTTCCTGCTCGGCTCGATTCACCGGATATCAACGATACGGGGCCCCCGGGCTACAGAGGCCTCGAACGTATGTAAGCAAACATTCTAAGGATTTCTATGGGACAGAATGTTGGTTTGAATTGTTTGGCTAGCTTCTAATCAATATATAATTATTTTAATTCAGTGCGAGAGTTTTTGTTCCTTTTGTGTAAAATCTTTACCCTTCATTTGGGCCCCCCGACAAATTTTTATACATTGTTGCATGGTTCCACTGGTTGCATCCCTTTGCATTTTCTATGGAATCTACCACTGGGAGTGCTCTGAGGAATTGTTCGGATTAATTCTAGCCGCCTTCACGAACTCACATCGCGTCAAAACTCACGATACCATCCTCACCATCTGGATGCTTGGCGGTCCACGACTCTGCGTTTTACTAGGAGTTTTCTTCCTCGTACAACTTCTCTGTGGAATTGTTTATCACCGGCGATTTTTTCGGACCGATACGTCTTAGGGACCTTCAAGAAAAGAGCTTACACCTTTCTTAAAGACCGGCAACGCACCTGCAATTCCCCTGGTGTTGCGGTTGTTCATGGACAGCGGTAGTTACTTACCATCAGGTAAGCCGCATGCACGTTTGCCCTCCCAAAAATACTACTGCGAGACCTCAAGATACTGTAAGCTTGTTCTGCCTAGAATGGACCGTATAATTTCCGTTAAAATTAAAAAAGAATACACTTTATTTGTTGTATGTGCGTAAATTTAAGAAATCATTCATTACTTTATTTTTGGTTTATCAGATATGACCTCTTCGTTTGACTCTCAACCAAAGCGATCGTCAACAAAAGGACAATTCAAAAGACCTGGCTTGTCATCAGTTACACTACCCAGGTAAAAACAATAAATACGAAAAAAAGAATAACAATAAAATGTTTGTAGCATGATCTAATTATTAGTTTAAATTTCATTACCTCATTAATTTCACAGACCCGAAAGTCCCGTTAAGAAGTACCTCCAGCCGACGTTAAGTGATCCTCATCCTACTTTAAATAAAAAATCGCCACGTAAGTAATATATTTGATTATACTAATAAGTAATACGCCAGGCGTGCCATCGATTACTTTTGTGTGTGGCGTGTGACCCACGAGTCGTGTCTTTTTAAAAATCGTTATAACTCGCTCAAATTGCGTTTTTGGAAAATTTATCCAGAACAAAATATTCATTATTTTGCAAGCAGTTCATGCCTGCAGCTTCGTTTCTGGATATTTTGAAAATTTAAAATTTTTAGGGGTTGACAACCATTTTTTATCTTGTACATGGTACTCTTTTTACTTTGTGGGTTTTCAATCAAGTTGTGGAAAAATAGTCTAAAGTATCAAATAATGGCACTCATTGCGATCGCTCACAAACTCAAGTTGTAAATAAATTTCTGGAAAACAAGTCTCCTGTTAAAAAACAATACGTTTGTCTTATTGTTTAAAATCGTTGAACTGCCGTCTTATTACTATCATATGGCCGAATAGACCTACGAAGTACCATGTGCTCTTGTGATATGGTATAAGGTTTATTTTTGCTTGAAACAGTTTGAGACCGTTCATGCATAAAAAAGTTCGCTAATAAATAGTCTTTCGTCAATCCGCTGCCGTATAGCGCCGGCGTTTGTTTCCTTTTGAAAACACTTGTTTTGCTATTCTTACTAATTAGACGTTTTCAAATCGACTTTACTTTTACATTTGTATAACATTAAATAATATTTAACATATGTAAATATTAATGAATCATAAACCTAATTTTTTTCTAAATTAAGGTTCTTGATTGTTTGATATTTACAAATATTATTATTAGGTGAAAATTTAATTTAATAAAAACCAAGGTTTTCCAGGGTGATTTAGCTGTACCTACTTATATAAATGATTTTTTATAAAACAAAAAATAGTACAAAATGTTTGTATTCTCTGCATAAAAAAAGTCACTTACTCTCAATTTAAAAGAAAACACGTAGAAAAACACGTAGTTACCCACTAAAGACAAGTATCCTTCCGTTTGTAACTGATGTTTGATGTCAACTAAACTTAATTAGGTCTAAACAAGTGAAAAAAGCATAAAAAAGATAATTATTTTTACACATGGCTGATGGCACAATAGGCGTCTGTGGTGCTTGACACGCCAGGCGTGCCATGAAATATTTGTTCGCCGCCACAGCTAAAAGTTGTCAAAAATTGGTGCCGCAACGAATCGCTTAAAATATTGTACCAAAGTACATACTGGGTAAACAAAGTTTTTTTTAAATGCATTGTTATCAATTTTAATAATACAAGGAACCCACAATTACACAATTTACCACAATTACAATTTTGATAATATAAAACAATGATAAAGAAGCATTTGGAGACTCCGGAATACATTTTGCGCATACATTTTGTACTAAGTTCAATCCATCCCCGCGGGGTTGCATGTATTCCATCTATTACCTATCTATAACAGCGTATTAAAGTCCACTGCGTAATATGTATAGACCTGCCTAAAGATTGCCTCGTAGGGGGATTATGACATAATTGCCACACTTAACATGCAGGTTTGCAATCGCAGTTGTTTAATATTTTGGAGTTTTCAAACCACTGACGTTAAATCTAAGTTGAGTTAAAATTAGTGTTAAGATACGGGTGATTTCAGGTCTTTAAACTTTTAAATTAATAATTTTACTAATAATATAATCGATAATATACATTATCGATCGGTGGATTTATCACCGTCTTACTTACTTAGAAATGACTGACTAGCGTAACCTTAAGTATAGTTCATTTCAAATAGGATGGCAGGATTCCACTTGAGACTTAGCAATTACAGCTGTAATGTTAATCTATTGTTGTGTGATTATTTTATTGCTTTAACACTTGAAGTTAAGCATCTGTTGATAATACTGAACCAGTATAGCTGGAATGACGAATTTTGGTACTTGAACATTAAAACAAATTAAATTGTAGATAAAAAACCTTTATTACTTTTAACTTAACTTGATTGATTAAACAAAATATTAACAAGTTGTTATAAGTATTTAAAATAGTTAAGTTAAAAGTAATAAAGGTTTTTTATCTACAATTTAATTTGTTTTAATGTTCAAGTACCAAAATTCGTCATTCCAGCTATACTGGTTCAGTATTATCAACAGATGCTTAACTTCAAGTGTTAAAGCAATAAAATAATCACACAACAATAGATTAACATTACAGCTGTAATTGCTAAGTCTCAAGTGGAATCCTGCCATCCTATTTGAAATGAACTATATGAATGGTTACATTTGTTATATGATTGATAACAACCCCTGGGAATGAGGCAGTCGCTTCTAAACTGTTTCTACGGTAAATTTTGTAAATAGTACAACTTTTCTTATTGTGTAATTTAGTTTAAAAAAAAAGTCCCGCTGGGTTTCTTGCTGGTTCTTCCCAGGACAGAGGTTTTCTTCCGAACCAGTGGTAAAGTAAAAAAAATACTTTCAATAAGAATTACATGTCATCTATATTAAAAATAAAAGTATTTTGTTTTATTCTAATGCTGTTGCCTTCAATTAACTTATCAAGTGTTTTGATCTTAAAGAAAATATTCGCATCAAAGTAGAAATATGTTAATTGTTGAGGTTAATACGATTGTTTTTACGACGGAAAGGAAAAATTTGTTTATCGTTTGCTCGTAGCTGCAATGAAGAACATCGTGCGCGTGCACAACATGGGTACGGCGACGTGCGGTGCAGGGGCTGCGGCCGGGGCCGGGGGTGCGGGCGGTACTGGGGTTGCGGGGGGCGCCGCGGCGGGTGCGGCGGGCGCGGGCGGCGCGGGGGGCGCGGGCCCCGCGCTGCACCAGCTGCACGACTGGTGGTGCGCGCACCTCGCCGCGCCGCGCCACCCAGACTAAACCTGGAACCCTATGCAACTTCTGATAGAACCGTCTTTTTTAATAATTTACTTGTTGCGTTTATTGTTCATTGCTGTACATCTATTTTAGATATACCCGCTATTTGAAAAAATCCAGTTTGAGAATCTTGTCTATCCAAAGTAGACAACGACAACTTTCCAAAATCAGAAGCCAGAATTTATAGCTGTCATTTAGTAATAGTAATTGTCGTCTATAATCTATATATTGTCTGTTAATTATTGTTATTAATATCATTACCATTTAAATATGAAACTACATGTTTAAAAGTAATAGTAGAACTTATGCAGAAATAGAAATAAGTATAAAAAATTAAAAATATTATAATATGACTTATTTCTCTACACTACTATTTTTATTACCATAAAAATTAAAGGCATATTCAGTAATTAAAATAAAAATTTAATTTAATATATAATTTAATTAAAAAAAAATCTAAATTGGGTAAAAAGCAAACATAAACCGGTAAACTTCAATGGGAATACGTGAAATCATGTAATAATCTAGTGCACTGACAATCTAGTAAAAATAATTTTGTACTTTGCCAATTTTAGGTGATTTTTTTAATTTAAATAAATACCATTATCTTCGTCAAATTAAAAATTATTTATATTTCTGATTTCACGTGTGTGATAGGTAAACGACATTGAATAACCTATTAAACTGATATTTAAAATCCATGCAGATGCCACTAAGCCACTGTCCTATATCATCCCGTGGGTTTCGTAAGAGGCAACTTTTTGATTGCAGCTCAGAATAATAAAAACTTTTAAAAAAAACTGTTGTCAACCTGTGTGGCTGCTATGGCAAATGTAATGAAATGACGCAACTTATGGGGGTTGACTTTTGACTTGTTATGAAAGGAATAAAAATAGTGGTGTAAGTATAAAATGTTAGTAGTCATAAAATATTTGTTACTTATATTAAAAAAAAATTGTGTGATACTTTAAACTTTAAAATTGATCCGAACTTATAACACTCGCTGCGAGCAAGGAAAATTTTGTATTTTGATATAGGTATATCATATTACAATATATTATTGAACACAATAATGGGTAAGATTGGCATTTATTTAGACATTTTGACAAAGAGGATAAATAAAAAGATGCAGCATTTAATTAAATTCCAATTACTGCTCGAGCCGTGTGTGTTATAAGTATGAGACTTGATGTAACTAAGTAAGTAGACTTGATGCGGTTGCTAAGCGATGTATGTTTCTTTGCAAATTGTATAGAGAACGTCCAGGTGACAAAGTATAGGAAATAAACTAAAAAAAAATTAAAAACATGACAAAACATGACTTTCTATTAATATTAAAAAAAAACTTAGAAAAGCTTACAGCCTTTATTATTACCTTAACGAATGGTTCAGGAACCTTAAATTTATGTTAAAAAAAATTGAATGTCTACACTATAGTGCCAAATGGTAGATAATTGTTGTAGAAAATAAATAAATGATTATCAAAATCAAAATTGATTTTTATTATTCTATTGAATTGCTATTGCATGAACATTTAAATCTAATTAAACATTCGGAATATTATAATTATTGTAAAAAGTGACACATGCTTAATGAGAAGAGAACAATAACAGCTATTGTTAGAAGAAGACAAACGTATCTGCCGGCGATGGGGAAATGGAATAATTTGGCACGAAGCTTTAATGTCGCGGCGTACATGAGTACTGTGCTGATGTCCTCCTGTGAGGTGTCCTGGTGCAAAAAGGGACGAACACACAACTCGTGACCTACAGATTGCGTGTTCCGGCACTCTTTTGATAACCTCGCGGCCTGAAATCAATACATTAATCACATACACAAAATACATAATTATTTTTATTTAGGGATCTTTTTACATTATTACTAATTAAGAAAATTTTGAAATTTTGAATATAAGAGAATTTCGAGTTGTAACTAGCAATTTGTTTTAAAATATTTAAATAGTAGTTTAAATAAGTCATGTAATAACGGTGGCCTAAGGGAATCCACATATCATATCGACTATGCGTTGATTGGATTTTATGTGCTCAGACAGACGTCGGTGTCATCATTTAGTGTACAGCGATGACTAATCCAGCCCGCCAATTGTATCGATTATCGGGAATTCATTAATTCTTCATGTATTGGGAGAGGTTCATGACTTATGAAACAAGTCAAGAAATTTTTACACGGACGTAATTGCAGTCCAGTCAAATATAAATGAATTATAGATGATGTAAGTGTGATCTCGAATAATGTAATATTTAGTCTGTATAGGTCTGCATTGCTAGTGGAATGTTAGTACTTTACCACTTGTCCACTAGATATATAGAACTTAATGTTATATAGTTTATAATACATAGATTACTTCCATATACCATATATCTACTTAAATGTTATATTTTTTATATAGAATCAAGGTGACAAACGAGCACACAGTCCACCTGATGGATGCTGTAGCTCATAGACATCTACAGCTATCTTCGATTAAGAATCAAAGTGCAGACGCATTGTCACCTCTGAGGACCAAGATGGAATGTTTCGTTTCCAGTAAAAAGGGTCTCCGGTTCTCTAATTTTTAAACTTAGCATCTAAAAAGCTCCTAATTTTGGGTTCCTGTAAAAGTCCACTGTTTGACATGGGTCCCTGCCTTTGTATGGATGAGTTATTTTAATCGTCACTCTTGGCAGGCGAACTGACGATCACAATAGCAGACGCTCGCATCTGTAACGATGCTGAGTGTGATATCGCTATTTATTGGAAACGATTTAATTTTTCTGGCATGTCCCATAGTTGCCTCTTATGACACCCAAGGGATGAAATGGGGAGATATACTTATTATCTTACGCGGTCACTATACGGCCAATTATTCGAATAACTAGATATTTATGAGTACAGAAGGATCAGGCAAGTTAACGTATAGCATTCACATTAACCTTTATAATCTTCGCTTAATTTTTGTAGTTCTACAAACCTGCACAAATGGTACCATAACCACTGATAACCAAAGTAATTGGTTTAGAATGCTGATACCAGGAATGGGCTCCGTCTCTGTGTCTACCTTGTCCAGATCAAACAACCACATAAGGCCCGATGCCGCCCACGATATATTAACAATAGTAAACAGGCATACAGCAGGCGCTAGATCGTCATTCAAATATTTGAGCAACTTTCGAAATTCCGCAATTTCCTGCAAATTAAAATTATAGTTTGGCTTGCTTACAACATAATGGCAACTTTAGAGATTTCGTTATCTCAATTCGGCCCGTGGATGTTGGAAGAGGTGATCGTTAATTCACCTGCTAAACTCAATGATTATGGCAAATCCTCCCACAACAGGAGGGCCTAGCAGTAGACTTTTAACAGCTTAAGAAAAGATGATTTTTGGACTCCGTGTACATCTTGCGATAACTGTCAACCGCTTGCTTCATTGAAACATATGACATACATAATATATGAGTACTAAAACGACAATTACACCACAACATACATTACATTATTTGAGACACTACAAACATTAAGAAAGCTTCAGATCCAAACAAAAGTTATTAGGATTTTTTATTTTTATATTTAATATCTAGTTGGCCAGGCAGACGTTGTTCTGCCCTTTCCGACGACCCTTCCTATGAAAAAATCCTTAAATTCGCAATAAAAAAATATTGAACGTCACTTATCGGGATAAAAAGTATCCAACCTCTCAAGTTGAACAAAACTGCACACAGTGTGCAAAATTTCATTGAAACCAGTTCAATACATATAGTTTAGGAGTTCATCGCGGACAAACAATGTGACACGTAATTTTTATATATAAAGATGGTGACAGACGAGCACATTATAAGTGGATGCCGTGGCCATGGACATCTTCATCTATGCTCGGTTAGGAATCAAAATGCAGATGCGTTGTCACCTCTAAGAAGACGAAATGCCTCGTTTCCAGTAAAAAAGGTTTCCAGTTCTCTATTTGAACTTTTTGTGTATGAAATGTGATTTGATGATGTAAAAGTCAATTGTAAATTCAACAATAGGTTAATATTGACTAGATAAAATAAACAAAGAAAAATAGACGGAACGCAGCGTACTTTTCGAGTGCGTCACTTGAAAAGTAAACCAAGCTCAAGTTATTGTAAGGATATACACTCACGCTCTACACATATGCATCTAAAATCATTTTGCAGCGAACAACATGGTTTTATGTGCATATGTGTGCGTCCAGCAGTGAACTTTTACGGGTTAATCAAGAGAGAGAAGAAATATGTGTGCGTGAATGTATGTTAAGAAGTTGCGAATTGTTAAAATGTGCTTTTCAGCAAAAAAATATTTGAGAAAGTCCTCTTAATCGTAGGAATTATTTCGAAGACATGTGAAGTTCGCCAACACGCATTGGGGCAGCGGGGCGGACATTTCCTTGCCCTAAAACAATCTCAGAATTCGTAGGAATAAAGACATCTTTATTCGTCTGATTACTTTTTCAAATATTTTTTTAACAATAATTAAGATATAATCCATTCCACAAAAATTGTCAATCCAATCATAAGGTAGACATACGTAATGTATACAACTATAACATTGACTTCGAACAAACCACACATAATAATAGATAATAAATCAAAAGTGCTTACCCTCATCCAATTTAAAGGGGTAATTGTTCTATTGAGAAGTCGTTCTTTGAGAAACATAAGATGAGATTGTAACAACTGCGCTTGTAAACAGTAACTGGTTATCACGGTCGCCTGCACCATGTCGTGGATCAACGTGCAAACAATAAGAAGTATTTTCAATGTAAGTCTCACTTCATTGGAGCTTAAAAGGAAACATTAAAAAAATATTATTGCAATATATTCATGATTGCTCTTATGTGATAAACGCATTTTAGAAATATAATACCTTGTTTCCATCCATCTGAACATAATGGTCCCCTTAGCCAACATCAAGTTGACCGAAAATAATGAAATACACATCCATAAAACACTGAGTATGATGAAGAACCACAACATACGCAGCAGACG